TTGGCGGGGAGGGCCCGATTATGTTCTCGTTTGCAGCATACCGATAGATGACACGCTGAACTAACAACCATGGCGGGCTGCTGGCAAATTCCGCAAAGCACACCCGGCACGTGGGCGATGGTTTCCAAATCTGAGAAAATCGGGTTGTCGCGCGATATCAACAACGCGACACGCATTGAGCGACGCCGCGAAAAGGGGCGTGATAAGAGAGGAGGTTGATGGCGTGGCAAGGGTGTTGTGGCGACTATTCAAGGAGCTTTTAAGCGATAAAAGACCGCCGCTATTTTCCTACACCACGGGGCGTTCCTACACCGAGAGGCGGGGGGAGGGGAGCCTCCGCATTATCCAGGGCGAAGTTCGTAGCGCCATATCTCGGGTTCTTTCCGAAGCAGAACATTATCGGGCAGCGCATAGTCCCGGCGTTCGTACGATCACCAAAATATTCTTGCACCGTGTTTGGTGTCAGCGGGGCGTGTTGCCTCTATACCGGGGGGCCGTAGAGGTCCAAACACCCGGCATCGGCTCAACCCACAGAATCTTCTTGTCTCTGGACTCGGCTAAGCCACGCATGGTGAGGCATGGGAGAGGTTGAAAGCCCCCTTTGGCTCGGGTCCATGGTGACTTACCAAACGCCTGCTTGCATGCGTCCCTTCGGGGGTGAATTTGTTCAAATAAAATATTTCCGTTGTTAGACCAGCGCTTGTCCCGTTCGTCGTGTCTTGTCCGCTTCTGTGCCTAACGTCCACCCACAGGTGGACGATTGCTTTCACGGCTCCAAAAAAGCACCAGACATATATGTAAAGTGGGGTAATCTCGAAAACAAGAGCGACCTCAGCCTTCGAGATATTAACTGAAGGTTGAACTGCTCCAGTTACTTCAGTATGCAAGTTCATAATTTGTGATCACCTTTTACTTAGATGATAAACTTAGACGATAAATGAGAGATAAAACTTAGATGATAAATGAAACAGTGTGTGACGAATTACAACTGGGTATGTGCAGAAGACCAGCCCACGCAGGTGCTGTCAAGTCTGATCACTGCCCACCCCACCACCACTATTCACCCAATGTGATGCTGTGCCAGCAAGAACAGACTTACAGAATAACGGTAATTCGTTAAGTTCATTGGGTCTGTGCTTCACCACATGGCGATAGTGATATTCGATTCATGGCACTGTATACGTAAGCCCTTGTCCGGTCAACAGTAGAGCCTCCAAGCTATTCCTTCCCTCTTAGGACCGTTTGAGTTCTTCCCGTTGCTGCTGGTTGTTCTAAAAGTATTCGAAAGATATTGGGCATTTCGAATATCTTGATGATATGTGGCGTTTAACGTCCCAAAAGCACCATAAGATTATGAGAGACGCCATTTCTAATATCTTTCCACCAAATCAAAAAGAACACTATCAAATTCGTTATTCCAAATTTTCGAATTCTCGCACACCCCTCGCAGATAATGGTGCCTGTTGGTATCGAGATTGTAGAAAATTACTTACCGAATGGGTAAAATAGATGGCCAAATGTACCTGGTGTTTTGAACACGCAAGTAGCACAAATATACGATATTTTGAGGGGGTATCGTAGGGTAAATCGCCCGAAAAATTGAATTGGCAATTTTGACACCAAAAAATCCACTGTTCTCTGAGGAACAAACCTGTGAAAGCCCGACGATGAACCGCCGCTCCAAGTGGTTTAAATGCCGCGCTGATGTGCGCCACGCTCCCTCTCGCGTAAACAGTAAAACTTCGTTTTTCTCAAATTGCATTTTTTATAAATTTTTAAGCTTTAATGTACCTTTTTTCAAAAAAGTATTACATCAATCTCAATGAAACTTTGTATGCGTGAAGTACAACTTAGAAACAATGTGAACTAAACAAAATACTGATTGCAAATAAATAAAGCTTTAAGAAGTGCACAACAATGCGCACCGCCCACGGCTTTGTGCAACCAGTATTTTTTTTCACAAGACCTTCATGAAAAATGTAATATATTTTTAGTTGAGATATAACTTGTGAGTCTCTACAACAACACGGCTGAATGCGGTTACATTCCTTTCGGAAGTTGCAGAGAAAAGGTACATTGAGTAAGTGAAAACCTTTTAAATTTTGGGAGGGGACCATAGGAAGAATAAGCAACCTAGGCACAAAAAACAGGTGTCACTTGATGCCAAGGAGCATTTTTTGTGAGCACGTAAAATTTTATGAGAATACCTGCAGCCGTTTCTATCATATTACGCTAAAACTGCTTAGTATGCCATGTGCCCTGATTTATTGATTGATTGATTGATTGATTGATTGATTGATTGATTGATTGATTGATTGATTGATTGATTGATATGTGGGGTTTAACGTCTCAAAAACCCCCTATGATTATGAGAGACGCCTTAGTGGAGGGCTCCGGAAATTTCGACCACCTGGGGTTCTTTAACGTGCACCTAAATCTGACAACACGGGCCTACAACATTTCCGCCTCCATCGGAAATGCGCCCCGCCGCGGTGGTCTAGTGGCTAAGGTACTCGGCTGCTGACCCGCAGGTCGCGGGTTCGAATCCCGGCTGCGGCGGCTGCATTTCCGATGGAGGCGGAAATGTTGCAGGCCCGTTTGCTCAGATTTGGGTGCACGTTAAAGAACCCCTGGTGGTCGAAATTTCCGGAGCCCTCCACTACGGCGTCTCTCATAATCATATGGTGGTTTTGGGACGTTAAACCCCACATATCTATCTATCCATCGCAAATGCAGCCGCCACAGCCGGGATTCGATCCCGAGACTTGCAAGTCAGCATCCGAGTACTTTAGCCACTAGACCACCGCGGCGGGTTACCATGTACCTACCATACCTCCTTAAGTTCTATCAGAAGGAGGGAAATAGGCGTCAATAATTGGCGTTTCTGACATAGAACTGTAGAATGATATATTGACGTTTCGGCTTGTTGCAATACCCTTCACAGTGCATATAGAAAAAGTATCATTAGAAAGCCGTGAACAACGGGACATGAAAATCGCTGCCCAACTTCAATTAAGGGTTGAGCTTCAGCTCTATTACTTGGACTTATTTCACGCATTCGATGACTATTTGGAAGTGTAAAAGGCAAATGCGATTTGTCTAGAAGAAAGGCGAGACGGGGAAGCTTGCGATGAAAAATTCGTGAACAGCTAGGAGTGGATTCTGGAGGACGCGACGTTTCGACGAGCAGAGTTGTCTTTTTCAGTTGGAGCCTTGAAAAAGACAAGTCCGCTAGTCGAAATGTCGGCTTCTCCAGCACACTGTTTACGAATTTCTGAAGTCAAATATGTATCACTTACGGCGAGATGTTTCCAAAGTTGTTCTGCCCCATTTTTTTTTTATTCCAGACACCAGTAAACCGATTATTCTAAGAGTGCTAAGACGTTGACTGATCTCCAACGTAATTTATTCTCTCTGGCTCAAATCGTTATGACTGGTAGTCACGTAATGGTGCCGCCTTATAACGAGATAACGAGATAACATTAAAGAGCTCGTTACGCCGAAATTCTGGTGTCGGCATCGTTGGTTGTGAGCGAACAATCATCACCTTGTGCGTCACCAGAAAATCGAGAAAGATTCAAATAAAGTAAATAATAAAAATTCTTGCGTGGGGATGGGACCCTGGTCGTTCGCGTGGCAAGCTGGTGTTCTAACCCACAGCCACGCCTGTGCGTGTGAATGCAGTGAAAATAACTTCCTCTGCTTGGAAATGCAGTGAAAGTAACTTTCATGCTTTACAAACACACACGTCCTGTAAACATGCTTCACAATACAACATAAAATATTGCCGTAATAATGTGTGGTACAAGCGTACATTGCGATCGAGTGGTGGCAGATGCATTCAATTATCATAATGATTTCATGGTTTAAAGCCGGTGACCCACTACGAAAGACACACATGTTACTGAACCTTTTCCCCTACGGCCACGTAGTGGGTGCAACGCAAGTTCGAAAAGATTTCATTCACGATTGAAGTACGCACGGAGACACGACATCGCGCCCAACTCTTGAAAAACGAAGCTGAAGGGACTCCCAGTTCTTTTTTTTCTGTTTTTATCATCCTTCGAACACCAGCATCTGGCCGTTACCGCCATGAACCGGCCCTCCACCGACTTACCTTGGCGGTCATCCCGAGGAGTCATGTGTCACTCGCATGTAGCGCTCTACTGTTGCTTCAGCTAGCCGTTAAACGTAGGCGTTGATGTAGTGCTGTATGTTAACGACGGCAGAAAACTCGGCCAAATATTCAATAAAGGCATGTTTTACTAGGTTTATCTATATGACCAGTGTACAGTTTACTTTGTATCACACATTGAAAACTAAAGTCCTTGCTAGAACCAGGATTTTGATTTGGTTATTATCACACTTAGCTTATATTCTGCAATTCCGACATGTGGACGAAGTTATACCGCGAAAAAATACCTTGTCCTATACTTTTGTGCATGGTTGCATTGTGTTGTGCCCAAATGACATCAAGCTTTTATAATTATTATCTTGAAGAGGTAAAATCTATCAGTAGATCACTAAACAGATCTAAACCGAAGTAAAAACGAAACTGCTAAATTAGTGGAGGTGAATTGAACAAAACGAGCCCTATAGAAACAAGCAAAATGACGAGCAACAAGCGTCACCTAAAACGCGTGTACAAAGCCACTTTTGATATTCTGTAGAAAATCACCTATTTTTATCGCATTTAACCCGAGATACCCCCAGCCACAAACACAAACATTTCGAGTAAGCGATTTCCGACAAGAATGATGCGCCTCGGTCAGCAAACGTTATCTGTTCAGTCAAGATGCCAGAATGATAAGCACCCATCCGGCGTACGTGTTTGAACCTAGCGCATCATTCCAAGCTAGAAAGGCCGCTGGCGGATATTCTGACCGGGACAGTACCGCCAATCACTTCGTAAATAGAAAATATCGTATGCTCTACAATCAAACATGAGTGTACGAGTCGAAACAGATGTGTCACATTCCGCCAAGACGGGCATCACTCACGTTTGCCGCACTTCGCTCGCCTTGCCGGTCGGAGTGGCGGCGGCGGCAGCGGCGGAATCGATGGTCAGAAGGCGCGCGCATGCGCACCCACCCACCGTTCTCCTCCCCTCCTCTCCCAGTGGGTTCAAAATAATGCGGTTCAAACTCTTCGCTTCGTCCCCTTCCAGCAAGCACTCCTCCGATTTTGCTCCGAGGCGCCCACATTCCTTCTCGCCCGCGAAGGAATGCACGACAGTAGCTCGTCAATTCTGTTGCACCATCTACATCTCGGCTATGTCCCGTTACAAGCGTCACCTGAGGACGAGCAAAGTTGCTAAATTAGATGAATTTCTCGCACAGCGCCGGTAGGCACAATTCTGCAATCCCTGCTGTCTGCTAGAATGTCATTGGGCAAAGCGGGCGTTGACCATATGTATGGCGTTTTTGTAGAGAATGCCTCGAGAAGGACCGCAGGATGCTATGATTTCGGGAGCCGTAACTTCAAATAGGTAGAGCCGAAAACGCCATGTCATGGCCTTTTGATAACATCCCGAATATAGAAATCTCTCTACACGATCCTCCTCGAACGCATCAATATGAACCGTGAGGCTACCGTGCTCCAGTTTAGGCCGTATTAAAACCATGTTAAATTGACGGAACACTTATTTGAGCACGGGCAATATTATTTGCGCTGATAATAGCACTTGCGGCTGTAAAATTCTTCGTAGGTTGCCCCCTGAGACACCCTGACGATCCTAGAGGTGGAAAACGACATTTTATTATCGCGTCCGCGGCTTGTTAGAAGGCACATAATGGTTCGAAGTAAGAGAATGCGCGTACTCGACGCCGACTACGTGGTATTTTGGAGCACCAGCGGCACCAGTGGCAGGCGACGGTCTGCAAGCCGCGTTCGATCTGGTTAGGCGGTTCTCGGTGCTGGTTGAGTGGCTAAGTACCAGATAGCTTTCGCCTAGTATTTGTGCGTTTATCACTATTTTATGCAGGGCCATTTTTCTTTTCTTGATCTAGTCTTGAGGCTGTACTGATGTCGAGGAATTCTCCGGGTCAGGATCGTTCCCTGTGGACGGCCTCTCTACACAATGATAATTTACCTCTTCACTTGTTTCTCTGCAGTGGAGTGAGCAATATTACCGTCACTATGGTACCTTTGGGTGGGTACTTCATTAAGTTGAATAACCCTAAGGCAACACAAGAACGTCTGCATGCCGTGACCCCAACTACCAGAGCATAACCGACGTGCAGCAATTTGGTCGTGGTGGCATTGTATGTGGAACACCAAATCAGCAATGTGTAAAGGATCTCCTTAAGTGTTCTTCCTTTGCTTCGATCCCGGTGAGTGCGTATATACCGCAACATCCCGTATGCAATAAAAGCATTGTGCGTGGGGTCGACGCACAACTGAGCCCTGCGGAGACGCTCGAGAAGCTGTCTGTGGCAGGTGTGGTGGCAGTTTACCGGTGTGATCGACTGGTTGACAACAAACGACATTTCACAGAGTCAGTGATTGCGACTTTAGCAGGTACGCAATGCCCTTCAGAAACTAAAGCATGGCCATTATATTTAGAGTATATCAGTTACCGTCCCGCCCATTGCAATGTCAGAACTGCTGGAGGTGTGGGCATAGCTCTCATGGCTGCTAATTAGAGGGCCGATGTCGTAGATGCGGTGAATGCCACTCAGATCAAGATTATAAGGCCCAAAATGACTTGTGTTGCCTGTGGGATGGACATCACGCAGCTGATTTCGCAGAGTGCCCAATGCGCCATCAAGAAGTACAAACTCTAGCAATCCTAGACAAAAGGAGAAGCCCTAGAAAGAAAGCAATTTCAGCTGTTAAGGAGAGAGCCCATGGCTATGCTGGCGTTACAGCACGTGATTCGTGTCAGGATACTAATATCACGCAGGCAGTTGAGGTAGCGGTAGGAAGATCTATGGCTACAGTAATGAACCAATTGGTAGCTAGCATCTCCGAATGCATAGCACAAGTTGTCAGTAATCAAATTACTAAGCTGTTGATCCCAACTTCTCTGGGTAATCCTGAGCCCAATAAAAAACCGACTGCCAGTGATGCTACTGCAGTATGTAATGATGAGGTGAATATCGCGGATAACATCCAGTGCTCTTGGATGTTATCATCAACGTTTGTCATCCAGTGCATGACAAATGTTGACCAACAACAAGTGTTAGACCCAAATGTGTCTACTAATGTCGAGCTTGATGCTGGCGCACAGAATCACAGCCAGTCCCCGTTGAACCATGACGTTTTACGTTCCCTTCCGTCTAAACCAAAGAAGACTCCGTCTAGTAAAATACTCAAAGAAGGTACTTTGGAGAAAGTTATCTCCGAAAATATCCTTACCCCAAAATAGCATCCCTGAGAGTTCTGCAGTGGAATTGTCGCTCTCTATTTGCTGCTCTCACTGGCTTACATTTTCTGTATGATAAACGAAGTCCCCATTTAATATTACTTCAAGAATCTTGGATTGCTCCCGATACTAATCTGCACTTTAATAACTACCGTTTGTTCAGACTAGACCGCCCTAAAAGAGGTGGTGGAATAGTGACAATTATTTCAAAGAAACTTTGCGACAAAGCCGAACTGATGTTAAAACTGCTATCCCCCCCGGCATTTGAAATATTAGTTGTAGTCTTAACTCTCCCGACTGGGCAGATTTATTCAGTAGTAAATGCTCACTTTCCTTCAGGCGTACATGACACTCGGCCATTAGATGCTTTAATAACCCCGTGTGGAGGAAATATTTTATTAGCAGAAGACTTTACCTCCCATCATATTACATGGGGAGTAAAAACTGATACGTGTGGCAGCCGGTTGTGGCATTGAACCCAAGATAAGTTTTTTTTTTTTTCATGTCAGGATTCGGGAAGCCCAACATACGTATGCAGTTTATACTTTTTCAGCACTGGATTTAATTTTTACGAGCTCCAACCTTAATGATTCAGCTTGGTCAGTCGTTCATTGCACAACAAATAGCAGCCACTTACCTATAACTTTCGAAATAGAAATTCAGATAGCCTCATCAATCTCTATTACTCGTACGCATATACACTACTCGAAATTTAAGGATTCCTTACTTTCTTCGCTGTCTTCTCTGTCAGATAATAGCACGATGCCGAAGGCTCTGAGCTTATATTCTTTGCTAAAGAATTCCCGTGAGAAATTTGAATTCGTGGTGTCGTCAGCTAATCATAACTCGAGTTCTCCTTGGTGGAATGACGATTGCTCGAGAGACTATAGACTCAGGAAAGCAGCATGAAAAAAAGCTTTCGTACAATCGGTGCCCTCTAAATTGTAAGGACTACTAGTTCGTTGCAGGTGTTTTCAAACGTACAGTGGCCAAGTCAAAAGAAGATTACGACAGGCGGAATTTCGATTATCTTTCTAAATACAACAATAAAAAAACGTTATATTGATTTCTACGTAAAAAGAAAATGATTCCGCAATCAATAAATGTAAACTCTATCATTTTGTCAGCCAAAGAAATGAAAGCTTCATTAGAAGTAATTGTTAAGGGATTGGAGCAACGTTTTTCTTGCCAACGATCACCTCCTTCACATGAAGTAAGGGACGCGGACTTCACGGAAATTGCCAGGCATGAATTGTCGCATGTGTTAGCTAACCTGCCATCTGCGGCTCCTGGCCCTAACTGAGTTACGTCGGTCATGTTGAAAATGGTGTATAAAGAGTGCCAAGTGTGCCTATTGGACGTTATCAACTATTCATTCAGAATGGCATGGCTCCCATTTGAGTGGGAAATAGCAAAGGTATTGCCATTATTGAAAGTTCCGGATAAAGAATACGTTTTGGAAAACATTACCCCCACTGCGTTAACCTCAATCTTTGTAAAATTATTTGAGAGAATCCTAAACGTTCGAATAACAAATCTCATCAATGAGAGAGAAATTCTGAATCAATCCCACATTGGCATCAGATCCGGATGCTCCATATGGCAGGCCCATATAGACCTTGAAAGTCGCATAAAATTAGCTAAGCGGGAAGGAAAATATGCTGCGCTCGTCACTCTCGATATAGCAAACGCGTACGACAGCGTTGAGTATATAGCGTTAATCAACCAGCTACACAACCTTAACTATCCAAAGTATATACAATGATGTATTGCAGAATTGTTACGCGATAGAACGTTTTACTGTTTCAAAAGTGGCATCTCGTCTTCCGAATATGTGCAAACAAGAGGTGTCTCGCAAAGGGCCGTCCTTTCCCCGGTGTTGTGCAATATCTTGATGAGCTCTGTACCACGGCACCAGGACGTCCTCACATATGTGTATGCGGACGACATTGCAATCTTTTCAGAAGCAGAGGATATTCACAAGCTATTTCAAATATTACAGTCATACCCATCTGCCATAGAAATGTGGCTTGATAGTTTACATCTGTATTTATATGTTGAGAAATGTTCTGTTTTAAAATTTTCACGCAAAGACCCTTTTCACATCTCACTCTCTTATCAACTGGATCCTACCCCTCAAGTAGTGAATGTGAAATATCTGGAGATGATTCATGACCAATGTCTTGGAAGACACACATTGAGTACATTGCAGAAAAGGGAGGTCGTGCTGAGGGAATGTTGAGCAAAATCAGTAATAGTCGGTTAGTTATGCAGATAAATACTCTTATCTCAGTGTATGTTCACCTGGTGCTTGAGTTTGGGTGCGTGTTATACGCGGGCGCACCAGCTTACAAGATACAACCTCTGGTACACATCGAGAGACAAGCCTTGAGACTAAACTTAGGTCTCCCTAAGTTTGTTGCAAACAAGGTCTTGCATCTGGAAGCTAGGCCTCCCTAACTTGTTACCCGTTTTAAATTGTTAGCTACACAGTGTATGAATCACCGATAAGGCGCTTAGAAACCGTTTTTGTTGCCCGTCCTGACTTGTTGTTTGTACAATATTGGTCGGGATTTCGCATACCTCAAATTCTGGTTATACAGCGCTTTCTAGATGAATTAGGCGTTCAAATTAATGCTGTTCCTTTATTCAGTAC